TTCTACACTAGAAAGGGTGCTTGAAAGACTGCAAAGAGTATGTGGTTCATACCATGCTCTTAAACAAAATCCTCTAGGATCACCACGTTTACCACACTTTCTTCACTCTCGGAGAAAATGAGAATAAGAGGATCCTGGCTTTGGGATGAAACAAAAGACTTGGTTCCATTGCCTTCGGAAAAGCTAATCTGGGAAAGATGTTTTTGAGTTATAAAATCATCGATCCCACCGAGATCTTGAAAATAAAGGAGGAGATCGGAGGAGAACAAGTTGTGACGCGCTCAACAAGAAAGAGCCAACACTCTTCATCTCCCAAAGAAGATGAGTCAATGGATGATGCTGGTCAACCAACAAGAAAAATTATCATGCTGACAGACGAAGATCCTACGTCCGATGCTGGCGATAGCCAACCCATTGGGAAGGTTTTGAAGAAAAGAGCTCCTCCATCACCTGTTATTCCATCTTACCCTAAGAAGAAAAGGGTTATAAAGCTTGCATCAAAGGTGGTTGTACTTGAGAAGTCAACATACGCTTCACCACCAGTAGCTGAAAGGGTGATTACTACTGAACCTATGGCTGAAGTCTCCATCCCTTCAGCTTAGACTAGAATACCAGCGAACACATCTTCCTCCCACATCACTGTACATTCTTCAATGACTTCTTCTATAAATACTCTCGCTCTGAGGAAGAGAAAGACGACCATCAAAATGGACCAGAAAATCTTGCCTCCATGACCTCTTTCTCTTCTATCATTCTCCCTCAAAGAACTAATAAACCCACTACTTCCAAAAGGGATGCCTCCAAATACTGATGAATATTCACTTATTTATCCTGGTGCAGCAAACCCAGAGGGAAAAATGGAGTTGCTTCAGTTCGTCCATCTCATCACCAATAGGGACGTCATGAAGAGGAACAAAATTGGTCTGCACTCAAAGCCACAACCACACATCATTGATAAAACTATCAATGTGCTTTATGTTCATTATCCCATCAATTAGGCTGGATGCTATGTTTTGCAAACACCTACTACACACGCCCTGGGGTACTACAGACTAGTGTACTCTTGGATTGAGGAAGGCTCAACCATACTGGATGCTTCAAGGAATCCTCTACGTGACTTGCACGGGAATACTCACAAGTGTGAAGCCATCTTGCCCAACAAGCCTACATATGGGCCAGAGTACTACTACCTTGAGCAGCCTCCTCCTCCGGCTTCACTCTCCATTCTTGTTTATCCACCCGCTTATGGACTTAAATAAGAATATCCTCCATCCTCTCCATCCTTTTCACAGCTAGCAGAAGATCAGCCCAAACATCCTCAATTTGTGTGTTTTCTGTTGAAACACTTCCCTGCACTTACTGACAGTGACCCTCACGGTCAAACAATTGAAAATTTCATTCCATTGGGCCAACATGTTCTACTTGTGCCAGTGTATGAATATGAGGAAGGGGTGTACAAGTGCACACCTTATTACCCAGATGTTCCCTTTTCACCATCTAAGGCTTACCTGGCTCTTCCACCAGGTACAATAATTGCTTTTCCTCTACCTACCTTTAAGAGGAAAATCTATCCAGGAGGGGTAATGAAATCCAAATCTGCCTAGAAAAGTAGTGGCTGCACCAAATTTTAGAAAACAAAATTTAGCTACTAAATTAGTGACAAATTTAGAGACGGATTTGGTTTTGAAAATTTTTTTGAAATGAAATTTCTATCACTAAATTGGTTACTAAATTTTCACAAAAATTTTTATTGTGTTTTTCCAAGCTTCTCCTTATTGCAGCAACCTCTCCAAGTGTATCTCTTCTCTCTTAGGAATAACCTTGATGTTGGTTATTCTTAAGTGTTTGATTCCCACCAAGAGTTTTCCACCAAAGAGAATAGCAATCTCCTAGGCGTCCACAAACACTTCAAGATGCTACCCTTGTACTTGGCTTTCCACACCTTCAAAGAGGCACTCAACACACCTTAAGTTGCTGAATTTATATAGGAAAAACTGAAAAAGCACAATTTAGAAAGGCTACACCAAATGGTAGAATTAAAGAGACAAGACTAGAAAGAGTTCCAAAAATTGACAAGCAAAAATTAAGGTACAAATAAAAGGCTAGCACACAAAGGAAAACCTAACAATGGCTCTAGAATGGATTACAAAATTAAAATCTAAGATTAAGAAATGAAAACAAGACACTAATCTCAAGTGTATAGGGCTGGACAGTTTTAGAAACATGCAACAATAAGCAAAAACCGAGAGCAAAACAACACAAAATTTTCACTCCTTTTGGCTTTTTTTTTTCTTTGGTTCTTTCTTTTGCAATTTTCTTCTCTATAATTTTCCTTTTCTTTTTCTTTCACACAACCAGGAGTTAATGCCTTTTAAACATTGCAAGAGACTCGAATTTAATAAAGAAAATTGTTGCCAAACATTTCAACAATCAACAAGAGGTATTCAAGTATGTGTGTGTTAGAAGTGCTCACACTTTTGCACAATTTTTGAGTAATATTTTAGGCCCACTTTTCCTTAATTTTTCTCACACTTTTAGAACACTTAAAACCTCTGTTTTCTCTGTTTTTAAAGCTTCAAAAATAAGCACAAGTTTCAGCCACACAAGAGATTCAAGGAAAACTTACTAGGAAAGTGTTTTTGATATTTTCTTGACAAACTTTTTAAGGAAACATAATAGAAACCTAAATCTAAGAAATTTGCTAGAATTAATAGCAAATTAGGAATTCAAATATGTAAAACAAAAGCACATATAAGTCAGGTACAAAGAGTATATAAATTGCACAAAAACGAATTGACCAAAAACAACACAAAAACAAAGGTTAAACAAGCTAGTCTAGGAATTAATGACATGTAAAGGACTACACATGACTCTAGACAAAACACAAGATTATAAATCAAAAACACATGCTATTCATTATCATAATCCAATCATAGATTCAGGTTATAAGGAATAAGAGAAGACTCAACAAAATAAAAAATGCACAAGTTCATAGAAACCTAAAGCACCAAAACCGGATTGATTCAAGATTAATGGAACAAGAAAAATGTGAATCAATCAATTCTCATATGACATATAGGATCCATCAAAATATGTATTAAACCTAGATCCATACAGCAAACACAAGAAGACATGTAAAAGATGGAAGAGACAACACAGATTCACACAAAAGTTTAAGAACACATAACCTCAAAAGCACCAAGGTTCTAGATACCAAAACTGATGAAACTACTTGGAGATGGTTGATGTTTCTTCAAGTTGAACCAAATAAATCCCTTCTTCTCTAGACGTTCTTCATGGCAAGGTAAGAATGAAGGAGTTTCAAGCTTCATAAAGCTTGAAGAAGCAACAATGGTGGTTCAGTTTCTCTAGAAGGAGAGAAACTTGAGGAACCAAGCACAAATGAGAAGTTTCTTTGAGAAGCTTCTAGGAGAAGGAGATTCTATGAGAAGGAGATTCTCCACGAAATTAGACTCTTGAAAATGAGAGAGAACTCTGAATTCTATTTCTCAAAATATGTCAAAAGTGATTACAAGAGTAAAAATTACAAATATATAGAGGTAGGTAGCTTAAGGAGCAAGCTAACCTTAACCATGGTTCACTAGGAACCATGGTAAGGTTAGTTGACCTTCTTGGTGAGTTTAGAAACTTGTGTAGCAAGCTTCTCACTTAGCTTGCTTCCCAAGCAAGCTAAGGAGAAGCTTGTAGCACAAGCTTCTCATCTCCTTGAAGGTTAGAGAAGCAATTCGGTCAAAGAAAGGAGACTAGGCAAGGTGGGTGGATTTGGTCTCTTTTGGCTCCTTGAATTAATTTCAAAAATGTTTGATGTGGTTTAGTTAGGTTCATCCAATGATGATGAAACCTAGCTAAATCAAATCTATGAAAAATTAGGAGCAAAATGAGTCCAATATGTAAAATTTTACCTAGACCCAATTCTGGCCCAATTACTAGTCACACTCTCAAGCATTGCTAAATGCCACCCCTCTTAGATTATATATACAAAATTTTAATATAAATAAGAGAACATACTCATAAATAAAGTTTAATTTAAGTTTTATAGTTATAAATATTTTTATTTAACTTTTGTATATGTTATTTTTTCCTTTTATCTTTGTTGTCTATTTTTAAGGAAATTAAAAGATAAAGTGTATGTTTATAATATATATATATATATATATAAAGATTAAAATAGATCATTTTTACTTATAAAAATATAAAATAAAATTCATTAAAAATGGAGGAGAAAAAAATGTAAACATTCAAAGTGATACTTAAATTTGAAAGATGCAATGTCCTGAAACTAAGAAAATATAAAAGACATTATGAAAGTACAAACTTATAATTATACTGGTATAACTTTTACTAAGTATTATATTGATTAAATTTGTAAAGTTAATTGTTAAATTGAAAATTTTTTACTCTTAGATTATATATACAAAATTTTATATTGATCCAAGATGATTTGATACTTCATTCTTATAAAATAAAATTGACATAATATATATTTCAAAATATACTAAAATATGAATATTTTGATTACTTTCAAGTTGTTATTCAATTTTAATAAAATTTGATATAAACATATAAAATGATATAAAATTTCAATATAATGGTTAGATTTACAAAATTCACATTTAATATAAAATTATCGAAGAGTTTAATATTAATATATATTAGAAACTAAAATAAGAGTAAATAACTGAATTTAAGAATGTATTTATATCCTATTAACTGATTTAATATTTTTTAATTTTCGAAGCTAAAAAATAATTAAATAAAAAAAAAAAAGAGAGAAATAAGAAGAAGGAAAAGGAGGAGGATAAAGCGTTGAGTGTGAAGAGTGAAGAAACCCTAAATCCGAAACAGTATAAAGCATACCTCATTGGACGTTTCCATTATAAATGGCGTTGCGCTTCTCGCTTGAGTCAGTCACACAAAGAAACAGCGAAATGAAATGAAATAACGCCTCTTTGAGTAGCCCTATGGGAATCCCGTTCCATAAGCGGCTTAGTTAGGAGGCGCAAATCAATCGGAACCAAATTCACTTTTGCTTCCATTCAGAGAAAGGCCTTTTGAAGGGACTTTTGTCTTCTCCTCTCACTTGTCCCTCAAGCACCCTTTCACATTCCTATTTCTTTTTTCTTTTTTCTTTTTTCTTTTTTCTTTTATTTTTTTTTATTTGCCTTCAGAATAACCAATCGGTCCATCAAACGCTGCCGTTTGGATCAGACAAAGGCGCACATTGAATCTTAAACATCCGAACTTGTTTGAGGGTGCGGAGCGCTTCTTCTCCTGTTCCTTACCTAGATATGTTCGGATATTCACATTTCTTTTTTATTTTTTATTTTTCGTAGTTTCTTATGTTTTGTAGTTCATTTCGGAAATTACTTTAATTTGAATTGTTATTTATTTTGATTTTTTACTGAAAGCCTCCACCAGAAAGCTGAAAGAATTTTAAAACGTTGAATCTTTCGGTTCGTTTTGAGGCTGAGAGCAATAGGGTTTAACCAACCCGCTGAATCTTTGAAGGAGAGGAACAATTTCTTGTTTTCTTGTTCTTTTCTCATCTAGATTTGGACACTCTTTTCATTCTTAACCTAATTTTTTTTAGAGAAAAAAAAATGGTTTTCACTTGATTGGTTTGGTGAGAATTTTTTGTATTTTGCAGAAACTTGATACCCAATTAGATTTGGGCCGTGGCCCATAAGCTGTGGTCATATTTTAGGCCCAACAAAAAAAAGATTGGAGTTTTCTAGGCAACAATTAGAAGGGTTTTATTTTATTTATTTGATTTGATTTGATTCGTTTTTTACTCCTTGAGTTGCACATTATAGGTTCTATGGGCTTTTTTTTTTCTTTTTTCCAAATCTAGTTTAATGGATTGCACTATTTATAGGTGCTATAAGATGAAATGTTAAACTCAATAGTTATTGGGGGATGATGAAATGTATTATTTGATAGAATATATTGTTTCCCAAACAACATTTTTTCACAATTTTTTTTCTTATAAAAACAGCTGAAAAGTGAGAATAAGTTTTCTCTAGTTAATAATGGAAAGGATGTAGATTTACCTCCTTGTTAAGAATTCTCATAGTCACATCTGGTGTAAGGGATTTGCACTTATTATAGGTAACATGGATTAGGAAGTTAAACCTATCAAATCCTTGAGATGACCAAACTAAACTTAATATAAATAAATACATGCTCTATGTTAGAAAAGTTTACATCAATTAATTAAAAAAAACTCTTTAAAATTTATTCAAAAGTAATCATTTGTCATTTAAATCTTTTAAGCTATCTCAACTCACTAATTATTAACATTTGTCATGTAAAAAAAAAAGAGTAATCATTAAAATTTATAATATGAACAAATTATTAAGGTTATAAAGTAATTGATTGCAATCTTGGATTTTCGTTCAAATTATTTAAATAGAGTTAATTGTTGGTCACGTGAATGTTACGTAGATGTATAGGTAGATGTTATGTGGATACCAAATTTTTTGAAAATACCTAAAACCAGAACGGCCCGTTCTGGATGTATTCTTAGTGTGTTAATTTTGCACCTGGAACGTTCTGGTTTTAGACTGCTAAACACAAACTGTCAATGAAAATTGATAACATCAATTGCTAAACAGTTGGGTTATACAGTGTATCGTTAAGGACAATTAGTGTATCACTATAGACAATGGTAGCAGATTTTATTTCATTGTTAGTCAAACTGGAGTGAACCACTTACTACCAAATTGACTCTATACGGTAAAGGATGAAATGATATGATATTTTTTCTTGAAGCCATTAACGATGTACCCCAACAACAATAACATGTTCTTAAAGAGGTAGAACTTGAAGTAAAGGAAGAGGATACATAGAACTAATATTTCATCACACAATCACATGCAGGGACAGATCTAAGTTAATCATAGTGGGGGTACTTGCCCCCACTAAATTTTTTTTCATTCTTTCTTTTTTATATATAAAATATTAATAATTTTATAAAATATATATTATTAATTATATTTTAATTATGTTGTTATATCTAATATAATAAGTACATTAATATTTTTTTACATTTTATTTTATTATTTAATTGTTTTTTATTTTGTGGTAAAATTATCTTTATTTTTAATGAAGAAAAAATTTACTTACTTCAAAAGTAAGTCTTGATAGATTTATTTTATTTAATAATTAATATTCTATATCAAATTTTTAAAAATTTAATTGTTAAATTAAAAGCTTTTCATGTATAGATCAAATTTATAAAATTTTTTAAAAAATTAAAATCATATGATACTTCGTTAAATTAATTCAAATTAACATATAAAATATTTTTGTTTTAAATGAGTGTAAAAATTTAGAGGACACTAAAAGAAAATAAATTAATAATTTTATTATGTTTATCCTATTAATTTTTATCATTTTATTTCTCTAATTTTAAATAAGTTGCAAAAAATTATAAAGTGACACTTAAATATTTCTTCCGACAGAAAGAGAAAAAGGAAAAGTTATCACTCTATTTATAAGAAAATTGTATTTTATAAAAATAAGTAATTTTAAAATTTTTACCATAAAAAATTATTTTTCAAAATTATTATATTTTTTAATAAAATTAATATAGAATATTCTATTGTCTCCACTTAACTTGGCGTGCTGGAACGGGTCATTCTGAATCTAGAACGGCCCGTTCTGAAATCAGAACGGACTGTTCTGCTTTATTGGTGGTGTGTTAATTTTGTATCTGGAACAGCTTGTTTCAGATACAAAATTAACATACCAAGAGTGCACCCAGAAACGAGCCGTTCTGGTTTCAGAACGGCCCGTTCTGGTTCCAGGTGTTTTCAAGAAATTTAGCATCCACCTATGCATCTACGTGGCATCCACGTGGCCAACAGTTAACTTCGTTTAAATAATTTGGATGGAAGTCCGACTTTACAACCAATTAATTTATTAGGGACCAAATTGAGACCAAAAATAAAAGTGTGACTAAATTGAAACAAACAATTATTTTAAGGAACCAAAATAGGTTTTTAGTCAATTATTAATATACATTTGTGCATATGAGACAAAACTTCAACTATGATTAGAGAAAAATACCAACTACACTTAAAAAATTGTACCTAACAATACCAACTACACTTAAAAGTATTATACCTAAGTATTATTTTTATAATAAATGAGTAACTTTAAATAAATGTGCGAGGATTTAGTTCAATTTTGATCATGGTTTGTAATATTTCTTATTAATAAAAAAATCATAATCATATGTTTTGAAATATTGATTTGTGTATTTATTTATTAATTTAAGAAAGACAGATGATAAACACACCTCCACTCTCGTATAAACACACCCCTTTTTTTAAAAAAAATATATAATGTCTAAATTACCCTTTTAAAAAAAAGATGAAATTCCTAAATTTACACCTCCCTTCCCCGCACCCCATACTCCACACTCCACACCCCTCTTCTTCCCAAAGCCTCTTTCCGCTCAATGTCATTAAGCAATATACTTTTACAGTCATTCTGAATAGAAAAAAAGGACTAGTCCCACCATAACCAGCATAAGAAAGGTTCTTTTACAGTCATTAGCATTCCGAAAAGTACTTTCCGGAATAGTAAAATTATTGTTCATATAATTCCGGAATGAACTTTCCGTAATAGTAACTTTAATATTATGGAAAGTACTTTCCGGAATTATGTAACAAAACATTTCCGGAAAATACTTTCCGGAATAAGAATTTAATATTATGAAAAGTATTTTCCGGAACATTTTTATATAATTCCGGAAAGAACGTTCCGTAACAGTAAGAAGAAGAAGAAGAGGAGTGTCAAAAAGAGAAAGAAGAGGGGTGCGCAATGTCAGCAGGTGGTCTTGTAAGAGAAAGATTCTTACTTGTTCTATGGAAAGACACACTAGTAAAATGACTTTTAAAATTGGAATTTTAAAATCAGTCATAAGGTAGCCATTTTAAAAGTGACGCGATGGCCTGTACTGCAACAGAACGGTCCTAGAACGGCTCATTCTGCAAGCAGAACGGCCTGTACTGCTTTCAGTACGGCCCGCACTGCAAGCAGAACGGCCTGTACTGCTTGCAGAACGGGCAGTTCTGCAAGAAGAATGGGGCATTCTGCAATCAGAACGGGCCGTTCTTCTTGCAGAACAGCCCGTTCTGGTGCCATTCTGGTGCCGTTCTGGTGCGGGGAAGGGAGGTGTAAATTTAGGAATTTCATTTTTTTTTAAAAAGTAATTTAAATATTTTATATATTATTTTTAAAAAAACAAAAGGGTATGTTTATAGGAGAGTGGAGGTGTGTTTATCATCTGCCTTTAAGAAATTATATCAACGAGAAAAGTTATGGATAAGGCATAACATTTCTTTGAAGGTGTTCTATTGGGCCTTATGGTTTGGCCCAACTCTGCCATATAAACTGGGTTCATTTATGAACCTTGCAATTTGGATTTAGAAGAGGGAGCTACGACCTGATTTTAGTGACCATATAAAAAAAAAAGTGTTGATTACAGAACCAACTCAAATGATTTGTTTTTCATTTTTTTGGAAACAAAAATAGTTTGTTTTACATTTTATTTTTCTGAGGTTCGCTGAGGGTCTGAAGGTTTGAAAAAGGGACAAGTGTCCTGCACCTATCATTGGCATGGGTCCAAAAATAAAAATGCAGTTCTAATTATTCAAATAAAAAAATTATCTTTTTAATGTTAGTTTTTTAGTTGAGGAGTGCTAGTAATGCATTCTTTAACACATTTTTTTTTAAATATACTTAATCTTATTGATTATAATTTATAAATAACTATAAAATATACGAAAATTATTAAATATGATATAAGATTTGTCAAATTTTGTGTTTTTCAAATAAATTTCGTATATAAGAAATTGTGTTAGAGTGTATATTACTGGTATTTCTCTTTTTAGTTTTTTTTTATCTTGTTCAATTTTTAATTAAGTAACCATAAATTCTAATTTTTTAATAGATTAAACATTTACTTTTTCTAAAACATTAAAGAAACTTTTATCATTTTCTAATTTTTTCATAACAAATACATTTTTTTTCTATATGAAAGGACACAAAACATAAAAAATAAAAAATAAAAAATATTACATTTTTTTCCATACCAAATTATAAGAGACTCTTATGTTAAATTGTGTGATTTATTCTTTAACTGATATCCAACGCAAAAATATTAGATAATGTATTTTATTGATGATAAAAGATAACATAAGAATTTTTTTTTAAAAAAATAATACATATTTTTAAAGATTTGTTAAAATCTTGTCTTGTGTACAAAAATATACTACTTCCGTTATATAAGACCCAAATACCTAATTTATGAAGTTTAAGAAAAGTAGTTAATTTAATTGACAATAAATTTATCTTATTTTTTTTCTAAAACTATTTTTATAATATTTTTCTTTTCTAATTACTACTCTTATATCTCCGAACCAATAGAACATCTCTAATGGGAGCAACCTAGGTGAGAGTTGCTTAGTACATCTATAGGTGTAATTGGTGATCCCTATTATTTTATGTCATTATTAAGCAACTCATACTCAATTTTGCTCCTATAGAACAAATTCTAAGGAACTTCAAAAAAATTTTCACACTTTCTTTTGTAAATGTGTTGGTACAGATTGGGATTAAAAAATATATATTTTTAATACTAACAAACAATTACTTGATGAAGGAACTTTTAAAAAAATATTTAACAACTTTCATTGTCACATAAGATTGCTCTAATAGGAGAGTTGTTTCAAGCAACTAGAGCTTCATTGAAGCGTCTGAACAAGAATTTCATACTATTAAATGTTCTATATTATTTCTCTCTTACTTGATATTTCTCTTTAAAAATTTTATTATTGATAAATTTTATCAAATTAAAAGAATAAGTCTTAATTAAAAATATTTTAGTATAAAAATAATTAATATATGAGATAATGTAAATTTATATAAAGAGATAAATAATTATTCCTGTAACGACCAGTCATGGTCTCTACACTTAGTGGAATCGCACTACTACTAGTGAACTACGAGAAATATTAAGCTGGATAACTCATACATACAAGTATATATAAAAAAATAACTAAGTTTCTTAAAATAAAACACCATATATGTATAGTTATCCCAAAAATAATATGATCCTAGTGTCGGTCAAGCACATACCAAAACTGTTACCCAATGTGTTGGAGAGGATAGGGGGCCATGGAGTTCCTAGGGGACTAAGGAAGGAATAAAGAGGCACAAGGCTCACTCAATATCATTAATTTCCAAAGTGGCTACAAGGGGGATGACCTAGAGTACTTATAGAGAGAGGAAAGGCATCTAGGGTTTCTTGGGAACATTTGGCCGAAATTTTGAGGTCCAAATACACCCTAAATGAACCCTAAATGCATCCCAAATGAAATGGCTCCCATCTCTCTAAAAGACTAAAGTACCCTTAGGTCTAGAAAAAGAAAGAAATGGACTTTGACCTTATAAAATAAGGTTTAAGTCCTAAAATAAATCCTAAGACTAATTTTGCCCCATAATACAAAGGATAAATAGAAATATAAAATAAAATCCTAATATCTAATGTACCCCAAAATACAAGGGAAAAATAGGAAAAGAAAACAACAAACTAAAGAGAGGGCTCAAAATCCACACATATGATGATCATGGCTTTTGGTGTGGTGTGTTCTTCATCTTCCTTGACTCTCCTAGCCATGGACCTTGTAATAGGCCCTATATGATGCTTTAAGGATGGTCCTCCATCATCCCCTTCTTCTTGAGAAGGATTTGACCTCAAATCTTTAAGCTCATCTGCCATTGATCCCTTCAAAAGATGTGAGACCACAATTTATGGAAATAAACTACTAAAACTTTCCTACTCAATACTTAAGTACATGATTTATTAGATGAATGAGAGTGTTAGGGGTATTGGGGAGGCCCAAAAAGGCATCACCAACCATGCATATAGGAAAATTTTGAAAAATTGAATGGCCCCATGCAAGACATCTATCAAATCATCTAGCTTAGGGATTGGGTGCCTATATTTTATTTTTTGATGGCTTTCTAAAATCGGTGCACATCCTCCATTGCCATCTTTCTTTGGCACCAAAAGAATGAGGATGACACAAGGGTTAAGGTTCTCTTGAACCTAGCCCTTCTTTCTCTCCAAAGGAAAAACTATTTTCTTTTCTTTTCTTTTTGTTTTTATTTTTGCTTTTCTCTTCTTCGTTTTTCTTGGCTTTCAATTTGAGTTGGTCCTCATTCACTTGAGAGGGTGATAGAGGAAACCACACAAATTTCTTACCCATGTGTTGGAAACTTATTTTATTTGTGAGGCCATCATGGATTGTTTTCTTGTCAAATTGCCATGGCCTCCCAAGCAAGACATGACTAATCCCAAGCGGGACCCTCCATGGATTAGCGGTTTTCATAAAAAGGAAGGGTTCATGGAGTCGCCACCAATGTTTTACTCAAAACATTGGAAAAAGAAGTTTAAGGCAATCGATTCAAAAATCGACTTCGGCCATTACAACCAGAGTCGGGTAAGGGAGTCGGTTACGCGTGGGGATTGGAAACTTATTTTATTTGTGAGGCCATCATGGATTGTTTTCTTGTCAAATTGCCATGGCCTCCCAAGCAAGACATGACTAGCCTCTAATGGAACTATGTCACACAAAAATTCTTCTTTATATTTGCCAATGGAGATTGGTATGCTTAACGATATTCACTCTTCTGCTGCAGCTTCAATAACCTACAATTGGTATCGTGAGCCCTATTCTTACGGACATGTGAAGATGGATGTTGAATCAAATTTCTCACAAGTTGCACCTCCAGTCTTTGATGGAGAAAACTACGATCTCTGGGCTGTCAAAATGGAGACTTACCTGGAAGCTTTGGATTTGTGGGAAGCCGTGGCAGAGGATTACGAAATACTTTCGCTGCCTGAAAACCCTACCATGGCTCAAATAAAGAACCACAAAGAGAAAAAAACCAAGAAGGCAAAGGCAAAGTCATGCCTATTTGCTGGTGTTTCTCAAACCATATTCACTAGGATCATGACTCATAAGATGCCAAAGTTAATCTGGGACTACTTGAAGGAAGAGTATGCGGGGGATGAGCGGATTCGAGGCATGCAAGTTCTGAATTTGATGCGGGAATTCGAGCTGCAAAAAATGCAAGAGTCTGAGACGATTAAAGGTTACTCAGATAGACTACTAAGCATTGCTAACAAGGTTAGATTGCTTGGCACTAAATTTTCTGACTCCAGAATAGTTGAAAATTTTTTGGTTACAGTGCCCGAGAGATATGAAGCATCAATAACCACATTGGAGAATACAAAGGATCTGTCCAAGATCACTTTGGCAGAAATCATACACGCACTACAAGCCCAGGAGCAACGAAGACTCATGAGGCAAGATCATGTTGTTGAAGGTGCTCTTCTAGTCAAAAGCCAACAAGCCAAAAACTACAAGAAGAATTATCCAGCCAGCAGTCAGAGCAATACAAATAATTAGGATAAAGGAAAAGGTGGAAAGAAAAGTTACCCACCTTGTCAGCATTGTGGCAAAATGGGTCACGCTCCATTCAGATGCTGGCAAAGACCTGATGCTAAATGCAACAAGTGCAATCAAATGGGACATGAAGCAATCATATGCAAGAGCAAAGATCAGCAGCAAAAGGAAGAAGCTAAGGCTGCTGATCAGGAGGAGGAGGATCAACTCTTTGTTGCTACTTGCTTCTCAAGTAGTGATTCAAGTGAAAGTTGGCTAATTGACAGTGGTTGCACTAACCACATGACACATGACAAGGAGCTGTTCAAGGAATTAAAAGGCACAGAGACTTCAAAAGTTAGAATCGGAAATGGTCAACACATAGCAGTCAAAGGAAAAGGCACGATTGCAATTGAAAGTTGTCTCGGTACAAAGCTTATCTATGATGTTCTTTATGTTCCAGAAATTGATCAAAATCTGTTGAGTGTTGGTCAATTGATGGAGAAGGGCTACAAAGTATATTTTGAAGACAAATTCTGTTTGATAAAAGATGCATCTGGTCAAGAAATATTCAAGGTCAAGATGAAAGGAAAGAGCTTTACATTGAATCCATTGGAGGAACAACAGGCTGCTTTTCCTATTAAGGAAAATGTCACGGAGATATGGCACAAGAGGCTCAGTCACTATCATCATCAAGGAATGTTACTGCTTCAAACAGAACAATTAGTGAAGGGTCTACCTGATTTAGAAGATCATCTTCCTCATTGCCAAGCATGTCAATTTGGAAAGCAACACAGGAAACCTTTTCCAGAAACAACCTGGAGAGCAACACGGAAGCTTCAATTGATTCACACTGATTTATGTGGACCACAACGGACACCGTCTTTCAAAGGTAGTCTTTACTATATTGTCTTCATTGATGATTTTACAAGATTTTGCTAGATCTTTTTCTTAAAATTCAAGTCAGAAGTGGCTGGAGTGTTTTGGAAGTTCAAGAAAATGGTGGAAAAACAAAGTGGCTGCACCATTCAAGTTCTACGGTCAGATAATGGAAAAGAGTACACCTCGGGAGAATTTAATTCGTTTTGTGAGGAAGCTGGCATAGAACGCCAATTTACTGCTCCCTACACTCCACAACAAAATGGAGTTAGTGAGAGAAGAAACAGATACGTTCTGGAAATGGCAAGATGCATGCTACACGAGAAAAATTTGCCTAAGCAATTTTGGGCCGAGGCGGCAAATACTGCAGTTTTTCTTCAGAATAGACTTCCTTCAAAGGCAGTGAAGAATTTGACACCATTTAAAGCATGGTATGGATATAAGCCGTCTCTAAATTTTTTAAGTATTTGGTTGTTTGTGCTTCACCTATGTTCCTCAGGTTAAGCGTGATAAACTAGACAAGAAGGCAGTACAAGGAATCTTTATAAGCTATAGCACAGTATCCAAGGCTTACAAAGTCTTTCAGCCACAAACAGGAAGTATTGTCATAAGTAGAGACGTGCACTTTGTGGAAAATGAAGAATGGAACTGGGAGCAGAGAAATCAATCCTCAAATCAATCAAATTTTCCTATCACAAATGTTGAAGAACAAAGAAATGAAGATTGGCAAAATGAGATGGTGGATGACATTCCAATTAGAGGTACTAGACTGCTTTCTGATGTTTATCAGTCTTGTAACATTGCACTCTGTGAACCTGCAAGTTTTGAAGAAGCAACGCATGATCAAAACTGGATGGTTGCAATGGAGGAGGAGCTTTACATGATCGGAAAAAAAAATACATGGCAACTTGTAGACAAACCTCAAGACAGAAAAGTCATTGGGGTCAAATGGGTGTTTCGAACCAAGTTAAATGCAGATGGCTCGGTCAATAAGCACAAGGCGAGGCTTGTGGTTAAAGGCTATTCTCAAATTTATGGAGTGGATTATTCAGACACATTCGCACCGGTTGTCAGGCTCGATACCATCAGGTTGCTACTTGCCGTTGCAGCACAAATGGGCTGGAAAGTGTACCAGTTGGATGTCAAATCAACATTTTTGAATGGATTCTTGCAGGAAGAAATTTATGTTGAGCAACCCGAAGGATTTGAGAAAAACGGAGAAGAAGGCAAGGTCTATCTTCTAAAAAAGGCACTCTATGGATTGAAGCAAGCTCCAAGAGCTTGGTACAGTAGAATTGACAATCATCTGTTAAGTATAGGCTTTGTAAAAAGCTTATCTGAGTCCACTACTCTTTACATCAAACACTGTGAGTTCAACATTGTTATCATTTCATTATATGTTGATGATCTTTTAGTGACTGGAAATAATGCAGCCTTAATTGATGAATTTAAGATGGAAATGATGAAAGTTTTTGAGATGACTGATCTTGGATTGTGACTTACTTTCTTGGAATGGAGATCAAGCAAAGTCAAAATGAAGTCTTTGTTTACCAAAGAAAGTATGCTAAGCAGATTCTAAAGAAGTTTCATATGGAAGATTGCAAGTCAATGAGCACTCCTATGAATATAAAGGAAAAGTTTAGCAAGGAAGATGGAACTGAAAAAGTAGATGAGATATACTTCAGAAGTTTGATTGGGTGCTTGATGTATCTTACGACAACAAGACCTGACATCTTGATTGCTGTAAATATTTTATCTCGATTCATGCACTGTGCAAGTGAAACACACTTGAAGGCTGCTAGAAGAGTGATTAGGTACATCAAAGGCACAACCAGTTTTGGCATCAAGTTCAAGAAAAGCAAGGATTTCAAGTTGTTGGGCTTCTCTGACAGTGACTGGGCAGGGTGCATTGATGACATGAAAAGCACCTCAGGATATTGCTTTAGTCTTGGATCTGGAGTTTTTTCATGGAGCTCAAAGAAACAAGAAACAGTAGCTCAATCTACTACTGAAGCAGAGTTTATTGCTGCAACTACTGCTGTCAACCAAGCTTTATGGTTGAGGAAGATATTGAGTGATCTTAATCTTGAGCAGAAGGAAGACACTAAGATCTTTGTTGATAATCAAGCTGCAATTGCTATTTCTCACAATCCGGTATTCCATGGAAAAACTAAACATTTCAACATCAAGTTGTTTTTCTTGAGAGAGGTGCAAAGGGATGGTGTTGTAACTCTTGTCTATTGCAGAACAGAAGAGCAAATTGTTGATATCTTTACTAAATCCCTGCCAGCAAGCAAGTTCGAGATCCTAAGAATGAAACTTGGTGTTTGCAGTCTCTAAAGCAAGGAGGAGTATGTTAGTTGTTGTGTTTAGGACTGCTGCCACGTTTTAATTATCCATTTATTTGTGTTTTGAATAAGTCAAAGTTAGTTTCCTAATTTTCAGTTTCAGTTTCTTTCTTTTAAGTTTATTCAGTCGTGGCCTCATTAGAAAATTTACTGTTAGTGGTCAGTTATTTTTATTGGCTATATATGTACGATTGAAAGAAATCAATACATCTCTCATTTTCGGCATATCTTTATTTTCTTTTTGCCGCAGCCTAACTCTTCCCTTTTCTTCAAACGATATTCACTCTTCTGCTGCAGCTTCAATAACCTACAAAGCTCACAAAGTCCTTCTCTCTAAAACTTCTCTCTAAAAACCTCATTTTCTCCTCAACCACAAACCCCTATTTATAGAAGTTCCGGAGTGGCCAAAACGGCCTGTTCTAAATCCGGAACGTCCCGTTCTGCACCCTCGCATCACGTACAAAAATCACATACAGAACAGCCCGTTCTGAAATCAGAACGGCCTGTTTTGGGACTCATCCAGAACGGCCCGTTCTCCATACAGAACGGCCCATACTCCCTCTGAAACGGCCTATTTTGGGGTTTGGAACGGCCCGTTCTCCCTCTAGAACGGTCCTTTCTCCATCCAGAACGGCCCGTTCCAGTTTGAGAACGACTCATTCTGGGTTACTAAATCAACCATATTGGACTTTTTGAAATAACTTACCACGTTACAATTCCAAATTAAATCTTATAAATAAGAATAAAGGTAATATTATTTTTATTGAAATTACATGTTTAATTTTTTATAAAATACATATTTAATTTTCAAAATTGTGTAAGAGATCTTTATCTATTATATCATTCTGAGCCCACAAAGTATTAGGATCGACCTTGAATTTGCTAGAATCAGACTAGGTCACAAGACTCTGAATACTCTATTTTTCATATGATCAAACTAATTTTTTTTATTTTATTTAATAAATGCGTAATATACATGTATTGTTATTTCATGATTAGGAGCCAAATTGAATATATATATATATATATATA